TTAGTAATACATATTTTTTTGTTTTGAACAAAAGTTAGTAATACATATTGATACGACTAAAAAGGAGACTAGAACTCTATATATATCAGAAGACTAGAACTCTATATATATCAGAAGAGAAACGCTTAGTTTGTAATATCTACAAAACTTAGCTCATATCATTTTGAGGAAATACATAACATTTTTAAATCCAAAACAGACACAAGTCAAAATATGAAGGTGCAGTTTTTCGTCCTCCTTTTGATAATCTCATGGTTGTCGAAGAAGATTACTTCTCTACCTCCTGAATCTCGAGTATTCGATCGTCATAGTTTTCCGGATAATTTTGTTTTTGGAACAGCTGCATCAGCTTTTCAGGTAATTCGGTTAGTGATATGAGTTAATCAGAAGATTTTTTCCATTTTTGTTGATCATGATAATGCAACTGGTTATAAAGTTAATTACAGTTGACGTTGACAAAGTGATGCTAATTCTTTCTCAAAAAAAAAAAATTGATGCTAATTAAATGAAAGATTCATACGTAGTTACGTACTTGTACGTAATATTCCTTTGATGTGGAACTTAAAATTCTAAATAACACTAATTTAAAAGCGATATAAGTCAGCTGTCTTATAAATATGTTGCAATTATAATGACGTCGTTTATTTTATTCTTCACCTTTTCGTCTATGTCACAATGAATAATATCGTAGACAAGTGATATAGTTTGTAACTATTGGTGTTTCTATAAAATATTTCTTCTTTTTTTTTCAATATTTTTTTTTTTAATTTTGTGTCTAAAATTTAATTAACTGTCCTATTTGTCCATTATGTAGTACGAAGGTGCAACAAGTGAAGGTGGAAAATCGCCAAGTATATGGGATTACTTCAGCCACACCTTTCCAGGTTTTTTAATATTCCGTACAATTATTTAAATTTTTGTACTACAAATTGTGTATAATATTTTGAAAATTTTCAAATGCAGAAAAAACCAATATGCAGAACGCAGATGTAGCGGTCGATTTTTACCATCGTTATAAGGTACTAATCTTGGATGTGAAACGACATCGTTCTTTTATTTCCTTGTCGATTAAAGTTTTTTATTTTTTGTTTTTAATGTGCTATTATTATTTTTTCTAATTATTTTAATGAATCAAAAAATAAACCAGGATGATATCAAGTTGATGAAAGACCTAAATATGGACGCTTTCAGATTTTCAATTTCGTGGGCTAGATTAGTACCAAGTAAGTATAATTATACAATTATATTTTACAGTATACGTTTAGTTACAACTAATACGTATTTTAATATTTTGGTGAATTTTCTTAATATTTGGTATTATTTTAAAGGTGGAAAGGTTAAGGATGGAGTAAACAAAGAAGGTTTACAATTCTACAAGGCTCTCCTCGACGAGCTTATTGCTAATGGTAAGTTGAAAAATCAATTAATTCAAACCTCTCTAATGAAACATTAACTCTTAAATGTTATTGTTAGATTATCTTCTAGTATACAAATGTTTAGATGAACAAACATATATATGCAGGCATTGAACCGTCGATAACCCTCTATCATTGGGACCATCCTCAAACTCTTGAGGACGACTATGGTGGTTTCTTAAGCCCTCAAATAGTGTAAGCGAACTTAGCACAATACTTCAAGACATATACAATTAACTATCTTGTATGCACATATAAAAGACATTAATATTAATGATTATTTTATTTCTCTTAAACAGAGAAGATTTTCGAGATTTTGCAAGAGTGTGTTTTGAAGAATTTGGAGACAAAGTTAAGATGTGGACAACTATTAACGAACCTTACATTATAATCGCTGCGGGTTACGATACAGGCAACAAAGCGGTTGGACGATGCTCGAAATGGGTGAATAGTAACTGTCAATCTGGTGATTCGGCTATCGAGCCATACATTGCATCACATCATCTTCTTCTTTCTCATGCTGCAGCTGTACAAGAGTTCCGAAAATGTAACAAGGTGCATATACATATAGAACCTTATAATTTACGTTTTGATTATTTTCTTTAAATTCAAATCTAATATAAGAAAATTGTGTAACAGACTTCACAAGACGGTATGATTGGAATAGTGTTGTCGCCTGTGTGGTTTGAGCCTTACGACTCTACTTCTCCTGCCGATAACGAGGCTGTTAAACGAGCTTTTACTATCGAACTAGATTGGTATGTTGTTATATACTTTAGATAAACAAAAAAGTGATAATCGTCATGTCATCGTAAGTTATTCATTTAGCAAATTTGTTTGAAAATGTATAATAGGCATTTAGATCCAGTTATTCATGGAGATTATCCAGAAGTACTGAAGAAACAACTCGGAAATAGATTACCTTCTTTTACTGTGGAACAATCCAAAATGTTAAAAAATTCATCGGATTTTATTGGAATCAACTATTACACTGCGCGCTACATTGCTCATAATCCTCATGTCGACCCCGAACGACCTCGATTCAAAACCGATCAACAACTTGTATGGACAGGTAAGAATGCTAATTTAAATAATAATGAGACTAATATTTTCGAATGAATTATGTAATTTCCTAAATTAGTTTTATGTATATCTTTTTGAACAGTAACAAATCATAGTAATCACAACCTCGGACCAGGGGTACGTAAATTTTTTACTACTTCTAATAAGAATAGGATGTTTAATTTTATTTTCTTAACAATCAACTTCACAATGATACAAAGGATATTATTAATATTTTCTTTTTTGCCACACAGGAAGATCGAGGTATACTCCAGTCACACCCACAAGGCTTACGAAAAATTCTTAACCACATCAAAGATAAATACAATAACCCTATAGTCTATATAAAAGAGAACGGTGAGTATTTTCTTTTAATCTATTAAACAACAAAACTTTCTCTCTTTCTCAATTTTCATTTGCTAAATTTTGTTTTCATTATAGGAATTAATGACTACGACGACGGTACAAAATCACGAGAGGAGATTCTCCAAGATACATTTAGGATAAGATACCATGAGGACCATCTCCAACAACTCCACAAAGCTATAATGTAAAGTCCAGTCAACAATTATTTATTAAAAATTACTTTATACGTTGATAAAACTAAAATTCGGTTCTATCTTTTTAATCGTAAATGCAAAAAGAAGGCCATATATTAACGTATATATTAATGATTATTGTTATACCAGAGAGGACGGATGTGACGTCAGAGGGTATTACACATGGTCGTTACTAGACAATTTCGAGTGGGAGCATGGATATTCAACTAGGTTCGGTTTGTACTATGTCGATTACGACAACAATCTCGAACGTTATCCAAAAGATTCCGTTAACTGGTTCAAGCAGTTTCTCAATAGATTGGTCGTAAAGAGTCAAGAAACAGAGCAAGTATGGGATGTGTCACGTGAGGGAGAGTATAATAAGACTATGGATGATTCAGAAGGTTTCGAGGCATCAATTGGTTCGATTGTCTATCTCATGATGAACACAACTAGAAGAGAAGACATAGACAGAGATCAATGTGTTTTCGAGATTCCTTATAATCGATTGGATTATATGTTAGATTCGCATAATTCTTTTGGACTCTAGAAACAATGGTTTGTGGATATATTTACTCATATTTCCAACTTAGATTTTTTTATTTTTCTTTTCAAATTAGATGTTGTTTCCAGTAATCTATGAAACTTGCAGATGTTAGAAATGAATGGAAATCAGAATAATGAGATATACATTATTCATTTTGTTTCTCTGATCTTGCCTTTTTTTTTGTACTTCCGAAACTAATCAATGAGCCATGGTTTTCTTCTTCATAATCCTCTTTTGAACAAACAAAGAAGAAATCAAAGCTCTCATCTTTATGTAAGAAACTGAAGCTTCTTCTTGTCTTCCTTATCAGATTAGAATCAAGAGACTAATCATAGTGCTGATACGTGAGAGAAGATAAAAAAAAGAAAACTTTCTGATGGTGAAAGCAAAACCCAATTATCCAATAAATCGTCTAAGCTCTGATAATA